AACAACGACGATCGGGAGAGATTCGGGTGACTGTCAATTGCTGCTTTGATGGCTTTGGTTGGTTGTTCTTTTTCACTGTACGGCCGCAGACACATTCTGACAGCACTTCAGACAGCAGCTTTGTGCCCCGCCAGCTGCTTGTTCCATGCCTACCATGGTGTTTTTGTACAGACAGCACTTCAGACAGCATTATGCTGTAGTCGGCAATCTTCCGTTTTGGTATAGAGTGGGACAGGGAGGGGGTGATGCTACTGTAGTCGAACGGTGGGACGGACGTGCAGTTCAGTTTTTGGGCACGCATACGGTGCTGCAGGGATTTTTAGGTGTACCTCTTCGGGCTCTTGGATACCTTTTGCTCGTTATATGTGTGCGTGTTCTTTAGATCCTCAGATGGATCTAGCACTTTCGTGACCACGGGCTGAGAGTCTTTTGCTAGATTTTGGCATTTAGCAACTGACATACGGTTTAATGTGAAGACAACAACAACAATAACTGTATCAATCAAGCAGTTGAAGTAGTTACTCAACCTCCGAGTTGTTATTGTTTTTTCTCACATTAGCTCTAATAGTCCACCAAAAATGGGAGCCCGTGGTATCAAAACCCGGCACATGCGACGCCGCGGGGAAACAAAACAAAAATAGTGTACAAACCACTCGGAAAAAGAAAACAATCTGATAAACAGAAGAAACAAAATCGAGTTCCCCTATATCTTCCGTCTACAACTGCTCACCATAACATACAGAATGATACACAAGATGGCTCCCAAACTGCCTTGTTGAGCCTGTTACCCACAGGGGAGTTATCGTTGAATGCTGTATGGGAACCGTAGACATACAGGTAGCCTTTCGCTCACGCTATGGATTCATTGCTAATCTATCTTAGACTTATTTCAATAGATAGAGATGGATTTGTTGTGTGATATTAAGAAAACAAAAAAAAGTAAAAATCTTAAAAAGAAAATGAAAGGTACTGCACCGACCGTTCGAGAAACGAGCCCTCGGAAACCGATCAAAGTTAAACAAAAAAAACAAAAATAAAGGAGGACGCTTCCCACACCCGCCTAAAGAAAAAATCAAAGGGTAACGTACCAGCACCAGGAACTACGCACCAGGGCGAGTATGGTTGAACTGTTGCCGTCTTCTCACCGAAAAACCATCGTACCCCCGGAAAAACACTGATCATCGGTGAATCCGCAGAATCCGCATTCCGCGTTCCGTGTTCCGTTCGCAGGGTCACTAGGTCATTGCACACCAACAAGTACGGTACGGTTCAGCGTCCTTCCCTAAAGCATGCACACACTACACCGGAAGTATGGCGAACAAACGCGTCGGAGTCGCGGAATAAGCACACCTCGTCGGGGCTCGAACTGCAACGATCCGCCGCCACAGCAGCACTGCAGTAGACGGGTTTCAATGCGTGTGCGGCAGTCACGAGAAGTGTACCGGCTGCCTGCCCTTGAAGGCGTGTGGTGGTGGTGCGTGTTGTCCTTGCATCAATCTTTCAGGGCATTGCCAGACTTGGACTTACTTCACTTTCGATACTTGTAGGGGTCAGCTAACTCCAGACCAGCTGGGGTCATCCGCGAACAAGGACAGCAGTAGTGAAGCTGAAGCTGAAGCTGAAGCGGGCGAAGAGAACTGCTCGAAATGAAGTTCCAGAATCTTTGAGATGGTTCAGGCGTCCTGCCGGTGCTGCTCCTGTTACTGCAATACTATAATAGGAGGTATACTCTATCTCCTGCTGTTGCAGTGATGACTCTTTTATAGAAATAATGGACCGTTTACATCAATATTCGTACATACAAGACATGAACAAGCATACGCACGCACCCGTCCATCAAGTAAAAGAGGCCGGGTACCTCAGGGGAAGGGTCGCGTCCGCGCAGTTGTTACGAGGGACGGAGGCCGGAGACTCGACTCGAGAAAAAAACTCTTCTTGGGGACTTACACAATAAAATACCCCGTGAGTTTAAATTGCCAGAGCAACGTGCTGTATGTACGACAAGAGTGCCACACCACAATCGTGCGCAGCTTACTGGTGTCGATAGTTTTCAAGACAGAGACATGAAAGCACGCATGTACCACCGGCATGGATCAGTCAGTCAATGTGCAGCAGTTCAGTTCATTGGTGGTTGTGCGAACAAACAAGAATGCGGAGGGATCGTGATGATGAGCGCAGTGTTGTTCTTGGAAGCCTGTTGTGTGCAATTGTACAGCTCTTTTCTGTGCTTGACTGACCGGAGGTGTAATGCTCCCGGCCGGCCCGACGTATGCGGGAATACACGTACATTAGCCGAGGGCATTGGCGGTGCCGAGCTTGTTCTGCTGGAGAGAAAGGGAAGTAGGAAGTGTTCTTGTGCGCATGCGGCATGTCCAACCACCTCAACAACACGACAGCGTACCTTTCGATGTGTCACGACTTTTAAGTAGAGGAAGAGGATCACCATGCACATAGACAGGATGGCCCACTGACCCATCTTGCGCTGGGCTCGCGCTCGAACTCTTTGCCTGTCTCCATCCCACTCCGCGGGCATGGTATTGCCCATGAACGCACAGCCAGAGCTGGGAACGAAATAGTTAGTGGGTTTTGCCCGGCAATCCCCTTGGCAATCCGTCGCCGGGGCCCGGTGGCCAGGAAACGTTTTGAATCGTGTACCTGACTTCTCGAAGCATGTAAGTGACCGGGTCGTTTTTCTCTGGCCTCGCTCTTGTTCTCTGTTCACCAGCCAACGACCACCAGAGGTATGCATCTTCTCCCTCGTATCATTCATGCAGTTGAAGCGTTTTTAGGCCCCGAAAACAGACATTTCGTCAGTGTTCTTCATTGTCGTCGCCGATCACAGCGTGTAAGGTCAGTTTGAAATTTGAAATCACAACAGTCACCAGCATCAGCCGCGCGGGACAACCCACCAGCATGGCGGCCTCGTCCTATCTGCTGGAGCTGGACGAGCGACGAGAACGGCTCCTGGCTGAGGTCGTGGACCACCTTGGTGTTCCGTCGGGCTCTGCAGAGCATGAAGTGGCCCTGTCGTTCGCAGCGAGCTCCCTGGCACACCATGATCACATGGACGCTGAGAGCAACAAGGTTAGCCGCGCCTGTCGTCTACAGCATAGTCTGGCTCCGGTTCTTCTCTGTAAACTGTAAACTGTAAACTGCTCCGTCTTGTCTTAACACTCTTCCGTGGGTTGCGTGTGCGCGCTAACGTGCTGTGCACCCTCTCTCTCTGTTGCGTGCGTGCGACTTATATCTACATGCTCATAGCCGTGTCATGACACTTATATCTACGTCTAAAACGGGAAGGCGTCTCATTATACACAGCTGGTCGCCCCGGTGGTCTAGTGGGTAGCCTCGCAGCCAGCAGGGGTCAGGGCATGGGTTTGAGGCTCGGCAGAGTGAGTTTTTTCTCGCTTAACAAATCCTGGCCTCCGTTGAAAGCGACGCACAGAAAAGCTCGTTGTTAGTAAAATTGATCGACTTCATAAGTCGCGAGGGAAGGGATTGCTGTACCCTTCTCGCGATAATTTTATCTCAGGCAGGAACCGCAGGAAGGGATCCAACCCCCTCCTCCTGTGTGACCGTGTGACCCCCGTTGGGTCGTCTAGCTTGTAGAAGTGGAGGATAGGGGCCAGAGGGGGCACACGACAGAGTCCAATGATGGGAGAAAAACAAAAAAACAAAAACACAAGATGTTCTTTGTAAGAGAAGCAGGTGTGCGCTTACCGGTCTTGCCCGGGCACCTAAAAGACGCGGCATCACTCAAGCCCAAACCCAAGCATCTCACCAAAACCAACGGCCAAACCTTTGTTCGACTGGGCGCAGCTTTTTGTGCTCTATCGCGTGAGCAAGGGGAAATGTGAATCTATTGGTGTGCATTACACCACTACTGCTGTACACAGGCCGTGTGCATGAAACCTGACAGCAGTTACACAGCAAAGATAATAGAGTCTCTCCGTCGTTACGTGTAGTGGTTTGTAGTGGTTGGTGCCAGGAACAGCCGCCGTATGTTTCGATCAAGCCATTGACCCCTCGTATGCCGTTTGCGCGGTACAAGCTGGTTGCTGTCAACCAAATCGATGAACATACATGCCTGGCAGGTGGAGGCGGCAATCTGCAGCGTCGCCGAAAAATTTGTGATGCACGGGAAGACCGTCAACGCAACGCGGCTGCTCCTGCTAGCCTCTAGCCTGACTGGCAAGGTAAGGGTAAACGTACTCTCGCTGTTGCTTCCTGAGAAACTTGTTGCTATTAGTCGTACATTGAAGCACCCCCTTTGCAGAGGTTCTTGTCTATCACGACGCGAAAGCAAGTCCTTCCGGTTTTATATCTGAAAATTCTCTCCTGAAACGCTCATATCGTGTGCCGCGCTATGATACTACTGGTATTATTTGCTGGTCGAAACGCCCCGGCTGCCGCGAACTCGTTTCACTCCCCTCCGCCAATTTCGGAACCCTGCCGTTCTTCTATATCTCTCTTTTATCACGTATTGTACGTGCTTTTCGTTCACTGCTGTACCTCCCCCTCCCGCCCCCCCGGTGTTTGCCATCGGGGTTGGGTTTTCGTCGCTTGGCA